TTCAATTCAATGTGTGGCTTTGGCTAGGGTTATAATTGCTGTTGTTGAAGAGCCAAAATGTTTCAATAAATAATGTCTCTGGGGCAGTAAAACGGATAATGATAAACAGCAAAAATGTTTGGTACAAATTGAATTTGGTTGTTATAATAATTGATATTGTCCCTGGGCGGTGGGACATTTTTCTCTGGCTTTTTCTCAGAGCTCTTATCGCTTTATCATCTGTACATAAAAGAGTTTGCTTTTGAATTTAGCACAAGCTGTGCAGGCCCTAATTACACCCATTAAGGATGCTAATTACATACCTGAAAAATGGGCAACACACAAAACAACCAAGTGCAGATCCCAGCTTCCCAACAGGCAGAGGCTGGGAACAGGGAGCCCATAATCCCTTTCACCACACAGATGCTGTCCTTGGCCTGAGAAAGAGCAGCGTCCCGCAGGCAAAGACATGTTCTCATCTGCACAGAGGAGATAACTGCACCACACCCGGCCTCCAGTCCTGCAAATCCCCATCCATCTCCACCAATGGCCTCTACACACCATCCATCCTTTTGCCCAGCCAAATTCTCTCTCTTGGAAGAGACACACACACACCTAAACTATTAAAAAAAACGCCACCGAAAACTCACTGGAAAGACGAGGTGGAAGAAAGAAAGTGAAATAAGTTTGGCCAACAAAGCTTTTTTTTTACTTCTTCCTCCTGTTCTGCGTTGCTGTTCTGAGTATCTCTGCTGACCCAGCCACTTTGAAGTGTGCAGCCTTTGATTTGGACAAAGATTAGGGCATTTGATCCCCAATTTAAAGAAGTTGGCACACAGGGTTGTTTTCATGGCAATACAAAAAATCACTTTGACAAAAAATCAATGGGTGATTCTCGCTGGCCTTCTCTCCTGAGAGTGAAGTGCATCATCTCTGTGTGTCTCAGTGTGGCGGCAAAGTGTTTATCAGGCGACCCACTGGCCAAGGAGATTATTATATTGACTCCTCACTCACAGTTCAGAGGGATTCGGCAATGACAAGCATCTAGCACAGGGGTGCCCAACCTTTTTTGAACCGAGAGCTACTTTTAAAGTTGCCAGTCTGCAGAGATCTACCAGTCCAAATAGAGAGGCGTAGCCATTACTGACAGCCTACTACCAGGTAAATACACACTTCTACTTGTATAAAACTGACCTTTGTACGATTAATACTTCATAAAATACTGCAGATCCTTTATCTTACCTCTTTCTAATCTACACACATACAAGTATTTAACTGAAGTTACACAACAGTGTTGTTGATACAGAGTTGGAGTTTATTCACACGTCACATACTACAGTAATGTTTTCAAGAAACATTGAACAGTGCTGCCACATATGACACAGGAAAAAAGAAAATACTCTTTATTTGCCATTATATAAAAATAGTGTTGCTACAAAAGTATAAATTAGGCTTACTAATAAGACAACTCAGATCTGAAGCTACACAGGAATCTGCTGCCAAAGTGCAATAACAAAGACACAATTAATCAAACCCTTTTTTTCTTGCATTTTAGTAGAGTATACAAATAAATGCCTTTAAAATAGAATGCAAGCAACTCTAGTTTCTTAACCTGAATTGATAATAGACTATAATCAATTTAAGTTTGCATTCTTATACCATTTTGTACAATAATTATAATGAATAAGTTCAAACAAACAAAAACTTACAGCTGATTAATAACGGTATCTAACTTGAGTTTTTATTATATCAAAAACCTGTTGAAACCTGTTATTTTTACTGTCCCCCAAAAGTGCGTCGCAGCCTCCAGGAAAGCTTCTTTCACAACTTCGCCGTCTTCGAAAGACTTCATGTGTTTCTCAAGAACGTGACTGACACGATAAGATGCTATGGTAGCAGCCTTGCTCTTGTTGTTGGGCCTGGTGAAAATGGACTGCTGTGCATTTAGCTGTCCTTTCAGGCCCCTCCCCTTTTGGGAGCGTAGGGCAGAATTAGGAGGGAATTCCGTCTCGTTGCGTTTGTGCACTGTTTTGAAATGCCGCTCCTAAATTACCCTTCTTCGATAAAGCCACGCTCGCATTGCAGATGAGACAGATGGACTTTGAATTGGAAGAGATACAAACATAATCATCCTCCCACTCGGAGTAAAAATTATATATTTTGGGCTTTTTTGCTTCTGCCATAATTGCGGTCTTGTGTGTGTGCGGACTGTCACTCCTGTTGACACGGACATGGCTGCTTCTCAGGTCGACTATTTTCATTTCCTCGCTCCTCGGTCCTCGGTCTCACCGGAAGTTGATTTGCCTGCGCCATCTTGAGTACCGTCCCATGGCTCTTATTTCTGCCGGAGGACCGAGGATCGAGGAGCGAGGAGCGATCATGGAGGAGCGATAACCGAGGAACCACCAGACCATCCTTCGATGAAATCCTCAGATACTCACCCCGCCCCCTTACTGTGTATCGCTCACTGATTGGACGAGGCAGTGCATGCACTGATCTGATGCTTCTTGACATGAGAGCAGAGTGAAGAAAACACATGAACCTCACGAGAGTCACTCCTCAGTTTATACCGTGTTTTGTTTCAATTCATGTATCATTTAGTTACACATATGTGATATATCTGAACAACAAAGTGGTCAAAAATCATTTAATTCATTTTTTGGAAACATTTTCATGATCGCTTTTTTCGTTTTACATTTTCATTTATTGTCATTTCCATTCAGTCAGTCATTAAGTGCTATTGAAATGTTAATATGCTACATATCCACACAAACACACAAAGTGTGCAATCCAATGAATGTTAATCCAACTGGGTTTTGATAGATAACATATCTCTTTTTCTTCTCTCAATTATGTTATTTCTTTAGTGCACTCTAATCAATATTAATCAAACTATTGTTCGTTTATACATTTTAAGAATGGCGTTTATCTTTTTTGAGAATTAGTTCTTATTTTATTTATTGGGGTCTACAACAGATGATACAAATGTTTGTGTCAGTAAATGTGTACTAACAGAGGCGGGGGGGGTGTGTGGAAATAACGGGGACATGAGCTGCTGTCAGACGATCAGCTGTGCAGCGTCATCACAAACGGACGTCGCTTCACGTGACGCTCCGGAGGAAAGGACGTCCCATTGCTCTTAAAACTAATTTCCCTGCTTCTCGTGGTTTCCTTGCGTCCCTCCATGCTTCCCTGGTGGGAGGGACTAAACGCAGGGAAACGACGCAAGTGAGGGAAGCAAGGATTTCATTTAATCGACCTGAGAAGCAGAAGTCAGCGAAATAGTGCCCACTGACTGCCCACCAGCCACGCCCCGACACATGGGGTCACACCGGCCAATCACAAAGCTTTGATGCGTTCAAGTGCATTATTCTGGCACAGGAAGATTATGTTATAGGACATTAACGATAAAACAGAATATTGTTGTTCTATTTTTAGACACATCTTGCGATCGACTGGGAATCTCCCCGCGATCGACCGGTCGATCGCGATCGACTGGTTGAGCACCCTGCAACAGGTGTATAGAGAGCTTTCGTAACTGCATGAAGATACACCAGAAGCAATCTCAGCTAGGAGCTTTAGCCACTGCAGATAACAAGGAAAGGGACATTATCGTCTTTATGGTGTCAAAGGCTAACATCAGACTATTAGAAATGCTTCCCTTGTAGAAGTCTCCAGGCACAGCAGCTGGGTTCAAAGCTGCAGTTCATCTGAATCACACACCCAAAGTGTTCTGACTTGTCCCTATATAACCGTGCAGATAGCGTAGGTTTTATTGGATGGGGATTTGACGTATCAGTCACTAAGATTGTTTGTTTTGTAGAAATTAGCTTAAGTGAAGGCAGCAATGAGTCAAGATTTGTTTTTCAAATTTCATTTTGCATTGTGCACCAATTCCCATTACAATCCATAATGTATTGTGTGAGACTGGGCAATAATGACATCAATGTGTCAACCTTCAGAAATGTTGTTATAGTGATAGATAACTATCTCTTTAATAGTATTATACATTAGCTCAATGAGCAAGATTTTGACAAATGACATTGTTAGCTTCAAGCGGTTGTTGCTTTAATGCGATGATATACCTTGAACTAATTTCACTGGATTAACCACCAAAAGATACTTTTTTCTGGTTAATTTACTTAAATATTATGTCTCAATGTAATTTCCACAAAGTGCTCAATGTCATGATTATTTATCAACAGGGTACGATAATACTATAGTCAAGTAAAAGTAGGGTTTGTTAGTAGCATAGACTGTATGGTTAGTAGACAACAAGTGACTGAATCCAGATGAACGTAGAGAGTAGGCAGGTTGGAAATAGGCGTTATCGTATACCCTTTTTCTATGCACTTTTCAGCCGTGCATACTAAACAACTCAGTATCAATCACACAACCGGCCTCCTCAGTGTAACCCTTATTGGTATCAACCACACAAGACAACACAACAAGCGTAACATACATTAAATAACAAGTGGGTTCAACAAGCATCTTAAGCAAAGCTACAACAATTAATAGCTTGACCGTTCTTGTAGAATTAACAGCATAATTAAACCTCACAAAGGCATACAACAGGGACATGTCCAAATAATATAACTCCACAGGGGATGCAGCAATAACCACACAAGTAAAGAGCTGCTGTTTGTAAGCTTCACACACACACACACACACACACACACCCCCACACACACACACACACACACACACACACACACCATGTATACATCACTTCAGGGGACATTACATTGACTTACATGCATTTCCTGGAGACTTATCCTAACCTTAACCATAACCAACACATGCCTAACCCCCAACCCTTACCCTTAACCTAACCCTAACCCTAATCCTAAACCTAACCAAGTCTTCACACTAAAATTAATGATTCCCCTCATGGGGACCTCCAATTTGTCCCCATAAGGGAAGCCAGTCCCCACACGTGACTATGTAAACAGATTTAGGTCCCCACAAGTATAGTAATGCTAGACCACACACACACACACACACACACACACACACACACACACACACATACACACACACACACACACACACACACACACACACACCTCTGGAGAGATAGGCTACAGTGTTGGTGTATCCTCACTTGTCTGAAAATGACTGCGAGCACCGCGAAGTCCACAGTCTGCTCTACCCACTCCTCCACAGCACTCAGCCTCTCAGAAGCGAACGCAGAAATGACCAGTTATCATTGTTGATGTTTAGCATGCTAGCCACCGTGAGCATGTAGCTGGTAACGAAATGTGTTGGGTGTGTTCGATTCGGGTCACTTAGCGTAGTGGCCGGGCGGTGCATTCAAATCACTAAATGTTCAGGAAGTTTAGGAACTCTCGCCGGTTTAACAATAATGTTAAACTTAACCCATTATGACATAATTCGTTATTGTATTGCACTGTTGTTGCCTGCGTTTTTCACACTGGCACTGTTGAGTGTTGACCACTCCCTCGCAAATAAATACCACACTGTGATAAACAGTAGACACATTTACTATATCACCAACCCCTTGTAGACATGGAGGTTGTAGCAGAAATGTCAGAGCCACATATCTCAATATTGGCATGCAGTCATGCAGGTAAACTGAAACTAGGTTATGCACGGCTATATAAAACCAGAGGTAACCTACAGGTTTTTTAATCAGCCATCATATGACAAAAAGCAATGGAGAATTATTGTAGAGAAAGAGAGAATAAGAATTAACCATAGGTCAGACATTGTGTCTAGTGCTTGGACTAAATTACAACTAAAGAATTAAGCCATACAAATTATAAAGAGCAAAACACATTTGTGTTAAGATCACATCCAAGTCCACCTACATTGCTGTGCATGCAAACTACATTGCATCTTGTACTTTCATTACATATTCTTCTGTGAGTGGGAATTAAATTGAAGGGATGTGTGGTTATCAGCATGAGCAGTTTGCTGAAAGTGCATGGACAATCCCCTAGATTCCTTTTTGGAGCATTAAAAGCAATTGATTAAACTGTATTCCAACAGCAATTCTGTCGTTATAGCCCACTCCAATATTAGTGTTCAAGGGGAAAAGTGCATAATCCTATTCTTTCAAAACTCTTTATGTCTATTTCTGAATTATTCCCTCGCTCGCTCTTTCTTTCTTTCTTTCTCTCTCTCTCTCTCTCTCTCGTCTCTCTCTCTCTCTCTCTCATCTCTCTCTCTCTCTCTCTCTCTCTCTCTCTCTCTCTCTCTCTCTCTCTCTCTCTCTCTCTCTCTCCTCTGTGTCTGCCTCCTTTATTGCTGCCTAACAGCTGCTTCTCCTTTGGCCAGTCTCCATGTGAGACTGAGGAGGGTGAATGGGTTTTTAATTGTACTTGTTAACGCTGCTTTCTCTATGGTTCTCCTCCCTAAACCTGTAATGACAACACTGCCAGATCGGAGGAAGTAGCAAGAGGAGGAGCAAACAGCAAGGGTTTATGAAAAACACTAGAGCCTGATCTAAGAGTGAAACCTACAAATTAAGAAGACATTGATGAGGCATGAGCTGAGCTATTTGAAGTGTATTATTCTCCTCTCTATTTTCTTTTGTTGGTTAATCCATTTTGAAGTGTTTTACTCAAGTACCTCAGAGAAGGCTAGGAGGAATAAAGCAGTGATGTTGATCTTCCACTCCCTGAGCAGAGACCACCAGCACAGCTATATCTTTAAATTCCAAAATCCTAAACAGATGAATTCAAGAAGCCTTCAAGAGGCCTGCTGCTGTAGCTATAGATGCTATGCATGTGCAAAGAGAAGCCCACACACTACCATGAAATCATCCTCATTATTCAACCTTTTTAACCTCACACTAACACTTTTACATTAACAAGGTGACCTTTCTGTGAGCCATTACTGCATCATGAATTGAGGAAATAAGGAGAAAGCAACATAGTAAAGAATCCTATACTCATTAAAACAAAAACTGTATAGTCAGAAGATGGGCTTCAAAGAATCCAGGTATAGGTCAGGTCTTCCTGTCATGAAAGATGATGGTGTAGTGCCAGGAAAAGGGAGTCGGAGGCGGTGTATTAAGAACAGAGTTCTAATCTTTATTAGCCATTAATAACAGAGAGGTTATCACATCAACTGCTCTGCTTGATGAGCTAGCAGGAATGGAAGCTAACGTTACAGGTGTTCCCACTAAAGGGTCCGTGTGGCAACACAATACGAGAGGTGAATTATGTCCAATAACGTGTCACCACACAAGCCCCCCCAGAATTCACGTGTAAACAAAATCCGTATGGCGGGGAGGAACAATCCGCCTGCCCCCACGAGACCTGCGCACCGGAGTCGGTACAGCGACCTCCGCCCGTGCGTCCCCTGACAGAGGAGGGACCGGAACAACAGGTCCACACTCCCTGACAGGAATCAAAGCCGGGGGTCGGCCCCGTCTCGGCGGCCGAGCCAGCACCACCGGCCGGTCCACGTCTAAGTGAGCAGCCTTCACCCGGTCAATCGAGACGTGCTCAGCCTTACCGCCCATGTCGACCACCAGGTGTTTTTCACCGTGTTCCAAAACCCGGAAAGGTCCATCGTAAGGGGGCTGCAGGGGGCCTCTGTGTGCGTCGTGACGAATGAAGACGTGCCCAGCCGAGCGTAGCTCCGCGGGAACTCGAGACCCTGGCGCACCGTGCTGAGTAGTCGGGACTGGAGCGAAAGCCTCCGCCGCGTCACGCAGAAAAACTCGCTGGGCCATGGCAGACCAGAGAGCTGATGCATTTGGGAGGAAATCCCCCGGAACTCTCAGCGGCTGACCGTAGACCATCTCCGCTGTAGAACACTGCAGATCTTCCTTAGGTGCGGTCCTCAGGCCCAGCATCACCCAGGGCAGCTTGTCGACCCAGTTACCGTCCGTAAGGCCAGCCTTGAGGGCCGCCTTCATGGAGCGATGGAAGCGCTCGCAGAGGCCGTTAGCCTGAGGGTGATAAGCGGTAGTCCTGTGCAGCTTAACCCCCAAACCGTCTGCCACAGCGTTCCAGAGCTCGGACGTGAACTGAGAGCCCCTGTCTGAGGAAATGTCTGACGGGGTGCCAAAACGACACACCCATGTTGTAATGAAGGCCCGGGCAACGTCTGCGGCTGATGTCGAAACGAGCGGAACCGCCTCCGGCCAACGGGTCGTTCTGTCCAACATGGTGAGGAGGTAGGAAAACCCCTGAGAGGAAGGCAATGGACCAACCAGGTCAATGTTGACGTGATCAAACCTCCTCTCAGGCACCAGGAAACGCTCCAACGGGGCCTTCGTGTGGCGGTGCACCTTAGCGTGTTGACAAGCCACGCACTCCCTGGCCCAAGTCCTCACGTCCCTTTTCAGTCCTTGCCAAACGAACTTCGCCGCTACCAAACGTACTGAAGGTTTAACGCCGGGGTGTGACAGGCCGTGCACAGCCTCGAGCACAGGACGCCTCCAGCTGGCAGGGACGATAGGCCGCCCCAGGCCCATAGAGACGTCACACAGGAGAGTAATGCCTGCGTCGCCGAACACCACGTCCTCCAAGCGCAGCCCCGCGCTCTCCACCTTCAGAGCCTGGACGCCGGGATCTGTGACCTGGTCCGCCAACATGCGAGTATAGTCCAGGCCCAACTGGACGGCACAGATGACGACCCTGGAGAGGCAATCAGCAACCAGGTTCGACTTGCCAGCCACGTGCTTAATGTCCGTAGTGAACTCCAATATGTAGGACAGCTGCCGCTGCTGACGTGCCGACCAAGGCTCTGCCACTTTTGACATGGCGAAGGTGAGCGGCTTGTGGTCGACAAACGCCGTAAATTCACGGCCTTCCAGCATGAAACGGAAGTGCCGCACGGCCAAATAAAGTCCGAGGAGCTCCCGGTCAAAGGCGCTGTATTTGCGTTCTCTAGGCGTCAGCTGGCGGCTGAAAAAGGCGAGCGGCTGCCAAGCGCCCTCCACCCACTGCTCGTGCACTGCGCCGACCGCGTAGTCCGACGCGTCCGTGGTGATGGAGATGGGAGCCGTAGATGATGGGTGTGCCAGCAAAGCCGCCTGAGCCAACGCGGTCTTGACCTCAGCAAAAGCGCCGTCCGCCTCTGCTGTCCAGTCGATCTCCTGGACGGGGGTCTTGCCTTTCAGCGCTTCATACAGCGGCCGCATGATGTGTGCGGCCCGGGCGATGAAACGGTGGTAGAAAGTCACCATCCCCAGAAACTGACGAAGCGACCGGGCTGTGAGTGGGCGAGGAAAAGCCGCAACAGCCTCCACCTTCGCTGGCAGAGGTGTCGCACCGCCCTTGGTGACGCGGTGTCCCAGGAAATCGATGTCCGACACCCCGAACTGGCACTTTGCAGGATTGATGATTAATCCGTGTTCGTTGAGCCGTGTGAAAAGGGCTCGGAGGTGGGACAGGTGCTCCTGCACTGAAGCGCTGGCGACGAGTATGTCGTCGAGGTAGACAAACACAAACGGCAGGTCCCGCAGCACCGAATCCATCAGGCGCTGGAACGTCTGAGCGGCATTATTGAGTCCAAAAGGCATCCGCAGGAACTCAAAATTTCCAAAAGGCGTTATCACTGCTGTCTTGGGAATGTCCAGGGGGTGCATGGGCACCTGCTGGTATCCACGCACCAGGTCCACCTTAGAAAACACCCCCGTACTGGTCACCAGTGTAGTGCCAGGAAAAGGGAGTCGGAGGCGGTGTATTAAGAACAGAGTTCTAATCTTTATTAGCCATTAATAACAGAGAGGTTATCACATCAACTGCTCTGCTTGATGAGCTAGCAGAAATGGAAGCTAACGCTACAGGTGTTCCCACTAAAGGGTCCGTGTGGCAACACAATACGAGAGGTGAATTATGTCCAATAACGTGTCACCACAATGGCAACATTTAGCATGCAAACACGCACACACGCACACGATCAAACTCCTTTAGCTGTTGCAAGGGAAACATTTTTATTTAAATGTTTTCCTCAGCATTGGGATACTTTGCACCTGAAATGTTCAGGTAACTAGCAAGAAAAATATGTCTGTAAAAATGTCAAGCGTTGTGTCACAACAAACATACAAGAATATTTAGACTACATGTTGCAACTACATCATACA